GTCTACAATAGAGGTCTTCCCTTCTAGAAGTCACAAAGTCACCCTTTAAATATACATTTGCCAAGAAATCTACCATAATAAACTAACAACCACAAAGTACACCAAACCTGAAGGGGAAACCAGCCGTTTAAATGTGAAAGAGAACAATAGGAAACAGTTGCTGGCCGTTGCTAACGCATGTGTTAAAGAGCAGAGTCTTGTGTCTCGAAATGAATACGGTGTTGATATGGAATGTGAAGTCACTGACAACACGTAGAGCAGGGGTCCTCAAACTTTTTAAACGGGACGCCAGTTCACTGTCCCTCAGACCGTTGGAGGGCCGGACTATAGTTAAAAAAAAAAAACTCGTTGGCTGCTAAGCAACAGGCAGCGGCGGCAAAAACACCCGGCGGGCTGCATGTGGCCCCCGGGCCGTAGTTTGAGGACCCCTGCCGTAGAGCATTTAACCAGTTTCCATTATTCCTCTCAGGTTCCAGATCCACCTAGTACAGGGGTGGGCAAACTTTTTGACTCGAGGGCCACAATGGGTTCTTAAACTGGACCGGAGGGCCGGAACAAAAGCATGGATGGAGTGTGTGTGTGAACTAATATAAATTCAAAGTAAACATCATTACATAAAAGGGTACGGTCTTTTTTTTTTAGTTTTATTCATTTCAAACGGGCCGGATCCGGCCCGCGGGCCGTAGTTTGCCCACGGCTGAGTCCTAGTACAAAACCTAACGACAAGTAACAGGTGATGCTCATGATTCTTTCGCTTGATGAATACGGAAGGCTGACTCTGGCCTGGCGCCATGTTCATTTAAGTGCTGGGGACAGAATGGTGAAGATCAAAACCAAAAAGATGTGGGTCCCTACTGTCTTGGAGCAAACGGCCTTGGAGCTACACACAGCCACAATAAATCCTCTGGTCCAGGGAGCCAGTGTGATGCTACTAAGAGTTCGCATGTAACATGTACCAGACGCCGGCGGCTCTCAACCATTCCATCTTTCTGCAACAGATAAACGTCTCTTCCGCGCGAGACACTCACCGGGTATACTGGAGAGGTGGAAGGATTAAAGAGACACGTGCTGACTTCAACGAGCCCCAGGGTTGTTTCAAGTGCCTAAGTGTTAAATGTGTTAAATAAGTGTCTAAGACTTTTCCCAAATGGCAAATTTCATGTGCAAAACCAACAAGAGGATTAAGAAAGAGATCTAGCCCTACCCGGTGTGGCTCAGTGGCTAGAGCATCGGCCTGCGGACTGAAGGGTCTCAGGTTCAATTCCAGTCAAAGGCACTTGCCCGGGTTGCAGGCTCCTCCCCAGTAGGGGGCGTGAAAGAGGCAGCCGATTAATGATTCTCTCTCATCATTGATGTTTCTCTCTCTCTCCCTCTCCCTTCCTCTCAGAAATCAATTTTAAAAAATATTTTAAAAAAAAGAGATCTGGAAATCATAGAAAGTAACAAGAATTTACTGTTACTCATTAGTTTAATTAATTTTCAGTGAAAGTATTTAAAGTGTTTTGGAAGCTAGGAACAAATTAATCCTTCTGTCTAGAAGAGACAATCAAAACTACTAAATGGTGATTAAAGCCTGACCCACACCTTGAAAGAGATGTCAAGAAAAATATCAAGATAAACTTGGGGGAGAGGGGACAGAGTAGGATCTGTCAGGCCAAGTTTTAATTTTCTTAAATCCCCTAGTCATTGGCCCATCATCAAAAATGCCCTAGATTTAATTTCCTAAATTACCATCAGCCAAATGGGTGAAATAATCAAGAATAATCCAGGCTGAAGGTAGAGACCAAAAGAACCTTCTCAGGACCTCACTAAAAGGCCAAAAGGCAAAAAATAAAATTGAAAAAATGAGGTAAAAAACCACAGTGAGTACATACATAAATAGCAAACTTCCTTTTACTGAGTTATAAGTTTTATAACTCATTAAACCTAACAACATTTATCTTTTTAAATGATATGAAGGCAGCTGTCGCCAAAAAACAGAAAACTTTATTAATGGTTTTTTTATTTGAAACAGCAAGTTTATCTATTCAGGACTCTGAGCTAATCCATGTGTGACTAAATCTAAAAGCATTAACTCCTGGATGCTTATCACCTGGTGATGTCAGTGCCAATAAAGGTACCAGATTTAGCACAAGCCAAATGATTCAATACAGCACCCACTAACACCTCCTGGTTATTTAATATCTTTAGCTGATGGCCCTAGGGTATTGTTCTTGATTTAGATCTATTATTCAAACTTAACTTTGTTATTATAAAAATTTTTGCTATTAGAAATCTTTATTTTGTATAGCCCAATGTTATAAAGACACTCCTTTAAAAATGTTGATCAGCCCTAACCGGTTTGGCTCAGTGGATCGAGCGTCGACCTGCAGACTCAAGGGTCCCAGGTTCGATTCCGGTCAAGGGCATGTACATTAGTTGCGAGCACATCCCCAGTAGGAGGTGTGCAGGAGGCAGCTGATCGATGTTTCTCTCTCATCGATGTTTCTAACTCTCTATCCCTCTCCCTTCTTCTCTGTAAAAAAAATCAATAAAATATTTTTTAAAAAAAATGTTGATCAATGTTTTGAAATGATCGCTAAGGCCTATAAAATCTATATATATAAAAGCCTAATAAACAAATTGTCCTCTCGGGAGTTCGACCGCTCACTATGCTGTGCACTGACCACCAGGGGGTGGTGCGGAATGATGGAAGGCCCCCAATGGGCCCTGATTGCCGGCCAGGCCTAGGAACCTATCTGTGCATGAATTTTGTGCACCGGGCCTCTAGTTTTCATATAAGAAACTACAGAAGATGTTTAAGAATACTTTTCCTTGGACAGATATTACAATGATCACTGCAGCAGTACTACATAAGAGTATTGCCCTTGAAAACATTCTAGTTAAGCAAGGTGGGGGTTGCCCTGTTGTTAATACTTCTGTTTCAAATAACAGAAGTAAATACTTCTGTTTCAAGATAAACTTGCTGTTTCAAATAAAAAACCATTAATAAAGTTTTCTGTTTTTTGGCGACAGCTGCCTTCATATCACTTAAAAAGATAAATGTCGCCGAAACCGGTTTGGCTCAGTGGATAGAGCGTCGGCTTGCGGACTGAAAGGTCCCAGGTTCGATTCCGGTCAAGGGCATGTACCTGGGTTGCGGGCACATCCCCAGTAGGAGATGTGCAGGAGGCAGCTGATTGATGTTTCTCTCTCATCGATGTTTCTAACTCTCTATCTCTCTCCCTTCCTCTCTGTAAAAAATCAATAAAATATATTAAAAAAAAAAAAAGATAAATGTCGTTAGGTTTAATGAGTTATAAAACTAATAACTCAATGAAAGGAAGTTTGCTATTTATGTACTTGGATAAAACCCCTCCGATAAAATAAAGTTAGAACTAAATATAACCCAGGCCCTGCTCTTAAAGAAGCATGATGACAATGCAGGGTTCCTGTGTTCTGGTGTGCTTGTTGCTCAGATGTGGCCTAAGGCTCCTCAGGAAAGAACAAACTATTTTCCTTTCTACCTGGGGCATGATATACCACCAGGAATGAGCCCTCCTGGCCTCAGGGACTAACAATGGCACGAAATACTCAAAATGAGTCACCTGATAATAGAGGGCCAGTGATGTTTTTAATACTGATCAGTGCTGTTTTCTGATCATTGCTTTCAAGGAAAGAGCTTGATCAAGAGAGGGAAAATATAAACAATAATACAATGGAGCCACTTCTAAAATGGAGCCAGGGCTGCCAAGCCAGGAGAACTGCCTTTCAAGTAATGTTAAAAAGAGGAATGGGACTCACTAGTATAATTGCTGGAATGGTTTCAATTGTGGAGACGATTTGGGGGGGTGGCAGGAGGAACTCCGTAAAATCGACACTCCCCAACATAATTTGGTTTCTCCCTTTCCTGGGACTCCCTTACTTCTAATATGTTAATCAATTAGGACAGGTACCTGAAAACTTAAATACAAATGGGGAGGGTGGGGGGTGGGGGGGGAGAGGGGCGGTTAAGAGATCAACCGAAGGACTTGTATGCATGCATATAAGCATAACCAATGCTTATTTTTTGTTATGGGGTGAGGCCACAACATTTGTAACAAAGAAACAGAATTTCCGGAGGATGAGGCCCAGAAATCAGGATTTTAAAAAGATTCCCAGGTGATTCTAATGTGCAGCCAAGGTTGAGAACCGCTGGTATAGAGTGAGTGCATACCAATAAGGAAACTACTGTACCAGTCCATTAGAGATGGTGATAGCATGGGCCAAGGTGGAACTGGAAAAATGTGGACAGATTACCAATACATTTAGACAAACAAACAGGACTTGATTTGGGGGATGAGAGAAAGGAAAACACTCAATTCTTCTGGCACTCAAGTCTTCATCTGTAAAACAGGAATGTTGATACTCCATCTGTATACATATCTATCTTGCAATCCGCTGCGGTGAGAATATGAAATAATATAAACAGTGTGAACTCAATGCAAGCCTGACATGTGATCAATGCTATTTTTAAAAACTGCTATTGCAATGATTATTTTCATCCCATGGAACGGCAACTACTAGAGGCTGAACTCCAACAGTAGGTAACAGGATTGTAGTTAAATGTTCCTATCTGCTGTGCGGAAAACAGAACGTATCCGTGGGCCACTGAGACAACTGTTCCAAAAAACATACCTGACCTCACTCCTCCGAAATTATTACCAGAGAGAAAGGCACAGCGGGTACCATCACAGTCATCTGGGAGTCCGGTAAACTGAGGCACAAGAGTAGCTACAGGTTCACCCAAGGAGGTAGGTGCAGAACAAGCAAATGGATGTCTTCCATTTGTGAGCGGATCCAATAGGACCAGGCCTGCACGAATGTATAACCCACAGGGGCTCTGGTTTCCTTGCTGACAAGGCCCTTTCATGCTTGGCTTCAGACCGCGCGTCGGCTCGCCCTCCAGCCGAGTCCCTCCGGTTCCCTGCCCCTCGCTCCAAGTGCATGAAAGACCCCAGCCTCCGGAGGGCCCCACATACCTTAGCTTCGCGTTCTCGTTCCTCGGGAGTCGGGGTTCGCTTCATGCTGCCGCTACAACCTTCTCCGCCACCGCCAGGATTGTACATTCCCTCGCTCTGGACCCCGCCTCCAGCGTGTAGTTCTCTCGGCGTCCTGCTCCCGTTCGCCACCACGCTACCCCAGAGCCGCGGGAACTACCACTCCCAGGGTGCACCGCGGCGGCACCCGCGAGCGCTTTGGGATCTAGAGCACTAGAATTTCCCAGGTCCCACAGCTGGGCTAGCGTAGTTCGAGGCCCTGAGAACTGGCCGGGAAGGAGCCCCAGGAAAACTACATTTCCCAGGAGGCAATGGGGCCTGCCATGTTTTTCCCATGCTCCTCTCAGCCGTCGGCGCTATGGCAACGGTTAGCTAGCCGCGGGGAGAAAGTGGCGGTGAGTACTCTGGGGGAGGAGAGGGCGATAGAGGTGGCCGACTCCCTACCTGCAGCGCGGGCCGGGGTCCTGGAGTCGCTCCACGGCCTGGAGAAGGTCCCGGGGTTCTGCTCGCGTGAAAAAGAGCCTAGCACGAGAAACCCCCACATCGTCAAGGCCGGAGCCACACCCCGCCCATGGCCCCCACGCCCAGCCCCGGTTTGAAAATGTGCAGCCCAGACCTAAGCCCTCGCTGAGGGCCGTTGATGCGAATTGCAGTGCTTATCCAAGCCCTTAGGATCGCTCACATCCTAAACACAGTTCGCTTATTTGACCTGGGTGTGGAGCTGCACCCGTGAGCCTCCCGAGTGGCCTATTGTTTAATTGTTTGTACTGGTCTGTTTTCCGCCTTGTTAGCCCATAGCCTGTTACCTGCATAAAGGCGGGGACTTTGCTTAGCATTTTAGTCTCAATGCTTTATTCATTCAAGAAATATTGGCGGTGGTGCCCACTTGGTGCCAGGCACTGTACCCCACCAAGTGTGAACTAGACAGATGCCTGCCTCAAGATGCTCGTTCGTACTTTATTAGGGAAGACGAACTAGAAATGAACCAGTAAAACAAATAAAATAATTTCAGACAGAGATGACTGCTGGAACAGCAATAAACAGTGACTAAATTGGGAGGAAGAGGCATCTAACACAGGGTGATGATCAGGGAAGTGGCATTGGAGCTGAGCCCCAGAGGATGAAGGGTCAGCGAAGGCCTTGAGCAAGGCCAGGGTACCTGGGTTTGGGGAACCTAAAGGACAACAGGCTGAGAGGAGCATAGTGAGCATGGAGGGAGCATGAGAGGGTGGCGGAGAGGCCTGGCAGCACTGCACGGGGCTTCTCAACCTCAGTAGCATGGGGGGCCGGATACTTGGGATTCCTGTGCATTGCGGGATGTTTAGCATCATCTCTGACCTCTAGATGCCAGTAAGAGGGTCACTCCCTCTTCCCACTGGTGACAATCAAAAAAAGTGGCTAGACCAGCGGTTCTCAACCTGTGGGTCGCGACCCCTTTGGGGGTCGAACGACCCTTTCACAGGGGTCGCCTAAGACCATCGGAAAACACATATACAATTACATATTGTTTTTGTGATGAATCACTGTGCTTTCATGATGTGCAATGTGTAACAATGAAATTGGGGGTCACCACAACATGAGGAGCTGTATGAAAGGGTCGCGGCATTAGGAAGGTTGAGAACCACGGGGCTAGACAGTTACTTCTTAGATGTGTGCCATGTGGGCAAGTTACCTAAGCTGCGTCCCCGTGTCTTCCTTTGCAGAGTAGGGATCATTTGCGTAACAGCCTCACAAGGACAGTGTGAGATCTTTAATTCATATAAGCAGAGCACTTTGAGGAGTGCCTCACACAGCTCAGGGAGCACCCGATAAATGCTAACACCATCACCAGTCTTATTATTATAAAAGCCGCCATTACTCTATCACGGAAAAGGTACCCTTTTTACAAAAGTCCTGGGTTTAAACTTCTGGGTAATCTGGTTCCTAACATCGACCTTTTCTGTAGCGCTGTCTGCAAAAGAGCTAGATGCCCACCCAGGCAAACGTCCGTTAGCTGTTTGTGTCACAGCAAAATGCAGAGGTTCTCAGCCTTTGATCGGTTATTACAAAAGTTAGGAACCCTCCCGCTAAAAGATACTGCATATACACGTAAGCGTAGGAGATCTTGTCAACCACGTCGGGGTCCACACACCCTGACGCTCCGCCAACACCGTTCATTACAACTGTTTAGCGAATGTCTGCTGTGTGCCAACTCTGGGCCGGCCTCTGAGAGTACAGAGGTGAGCAAGACCCAAAAGCTTGCAATTTGCTTGGACTTGATGGCGAACCTTTTGAGCTCTGCGTGTCAGCATTTTGAAAAACCCTAACTGAACTCTGGTGCTGTGTCACATAGAAAAATTTTTTGATCTTTGCAACCATAGTAAAACAAAGACTTATATTTCTGATATTTATTTTATATATTTAAATGCCATTTAACAAAGAAAAATCAACCAAAAAAGTGAGTTCGCGTGTCACCTCTGACACGCGTGTCATAGGTTCGCCATCACTGGTCTAGGACCAATATTTTAGGGACTGGGAACCTCTGCCTAAGGGCATCTCCACTGACAACTCGCATTTGGCTTTCAGGGTAGATTGAAATGAAAATATAAGCGTACTAGGCATGGCATGTGAGTTGGATTGCTCACAGCCACATACAAAACTCAGCCATGTGTGCATCTCTGTAAAGAATAGAAACTAAAAATGCCAGAATTGGCTGGACAGCCTGTATGCTGAAGGAGAAAGCCCTGGGACCTGGACCTCGTGACAACAAAATCCACCCCAGTTGGTGACTTTGTGAAACCTCTTTTGCAAAACGTGTAACTACCCATGCATTTGCGCAACAAGCTGAAAATTAACATTCAGGTAATATTGTCATCCCAGGCCAATGTGGTAGATGCTTTTAATTTACTGTCTCACCCTCAGCATCACTCTGTGAGATGGGTATTATTTTTTTCCCATTTTTAAATTAAGGAGCTGAAACTCGGCAAGGTTAGGTGACTTGACCAGCTACCAAGTAATAGCACAACCATGTGAATCAAGTTCCTGACTTGCGTTTTTTCCAAGATATCTGCTTTCTTCGGGGGACAGGGAAGGGGAAGAGGGGAGGGGAGGAGGTGTTTCTAAATTTAGGAGAGTTTGTTTTTGTTTCAGATAGAGGAATAAGAAGATGGGAGAAGGAAGAATGATAATCTGACCTCATTTCCTAAGCAAACTACAGGAAATATACTGTTGAAAGGAACACTGTCGCCATGATTCAATGTAGTATTACTTTTAAAATGGGAGCTTTCATCTTCTTCAAGCTGCACATGTGGGCAATAAGATGTCCATTAAAGTTCTAGTGCCTTATTCGTTTTATTTGGTTCATTCCATTGCATAGTTAATGTTATAACTTGGAAGGATTTTATTTGAATTTTCTTTTTCTCCACAGATAGGCCATGTCTGGTCCAACTGATGAGACTGCAGGAGACCTGCCTGTGAAAGATATAGGTCTGAACCTCTTTCGAGTGGGAGGGTTACAAGGTACGGCCAGCTGTTATTTATTACAGTTATGAACTTTGATCAGTAACTTCTTTACTTTTAATTTAAAGTATTTTTGATATTTATACAAACCAAGCCGTTTAAGTAACTATATAGCTCTTGATTGGACTAAACGAGAGGATGGAGTGTTTAGAACAACATATGGCATTTTACTGCATGCATCAATTATCAACAGCTCATAGAAAATGTAAAATCCCCCTCTGTTCTGATAAAGAATTGTTATAAATCATCTTTTTAAAATTCCACACATCAGTAGAAACTACAGAGAGTATCAGGCCTCCAACCTGAATTGCCTGGCTTAAATCACATTCGCCATTAAAACGTTTCTTTACGTTCACATTTTATAGGGGAGGAAATGCCATATTCAAAAATTTTTTGTCTTTCAAGTAGAGTATCTCAAAATGGTTTGTTTACCCACGTGATATTGACTTTAATTTATCAAATTAATATACACTGAACGTTTTCTTTATCCTTTTATATCTTAGTGGTTGCTGTAGAGCTAAAAAGCACTTTCAAAATAAGAAATGAAAGCATAGCTTTAAGGAATGTTGAGCAGTGTTTTTCTTTGTGCGGACGGTGTGTCAGCCGCGCAGTCATACCACTGCATTTGTCACTGAGAAGCTGTGACATCAGATATATTCCATGAAGGCATGTTCACACACCTGTTCATCAGAAGGGTGCCAGTGGTCACCTTGAACTAGAACTGAAAGGTGGTCAACACATTGTTCATTGAAAAAGATAAATTTGACTATCCAGTTTTTATTGTTAAAAGTAAAACATGTATAAGCTTTGCTTTAGATTTTTGGCAGAGTGCCAGCGATTCAAATGCAAATAAATTTTAAGTGTGCAAAGCTCTGTATTGGGATTTGATACCCTAATTCAATTCCTGCCCTCAGTTTCCCACCAGAGGGCTTTAATCTTTGTCCATTTGTTCTTTGTTTCTTTTGGAGGATTGCTGAAAATCGACCGACTTCACAGTGATATGGAAAGTACCAAACTTAAGCATATGTAAAAAATATCATATACACATGCTGAAAGGTATAAAAGTTCTTTAAAGATATTTAAGATAGATTATAAATAATTTGTGAAGGGTTTCTCTTTTGGTCTTTCGAATCTTATATAGTTTATTTTCTATAACCCAACACCCGTGGCTCAGAAAAATATCTTGATCATGTTATGTTCACCAGATTATTGTAAAAACTCTTTGTAAAAAAACCAACAAAAAATTTCTAGTTTAGTTTTTTCAACATTCAGTATATAAGTCGAAAACCCTTTATTGAATCAGAGTTCCAGCTTACATCTTAAAGAATGGTTATTTGAATCCTTTTTTGAGTGGTTATTATTATTGTTCCTATCCTTTAATATTGCATATAAAGTATTAATAGCAAAGGTTTTTATTCTGACCTCCGATCAGTGATGTGAACAATGCTATACTATTTTCAAAAGCAGTCTTAATTGTGGGTCACAAAGGGAAAAATCTGAGATGAGTGCATCCGATTTCATATTAATGTCAACAGTTATCATGCTTAGAGAGTAGTTTAAGTGATCCCACTATGAATGATCTTGGCATTTTTGCAGAAACTTC